ACACACACACACACACACATCACAGCACACAGGCTCTCAGCATCAGTGCCCTGACCATAGGGAGTTTGTGCTGAGCTGGTTGGGACGTCAGGATGAATCAATGCGAGGACAGCTGACTGGACATGCCTATTCATCTGCCAAAGAAAAGAGAGAGAAAAAAGCGAGGGATTCTAAAAGAAATGCGCTAAACCCCTGGAGCAACATGTTTGGCTATCTGCATTACTTTACAGATCCTCCAAAGGGCTTTCAGTGTTTATGGGATGAAAGCAGGAGAGGTAAAAAAACACAGACAGAAAAACAGAAGGTTAAAAATGTTACATAAAGATTGATTTTTGTCTTGAAAACCATAAACATACACACATTCCCTTATTTATACAATGTGTGTATAATTTATGACTGAGCAACAGTAGGATATTGCAGATGCAAATATATAGAGCACATTAAGCATGTAGGCTGCTTTGACAAAGACCTAAGCTCATACTGTAGAGGCGGCTAACTCCATACTGATGGCCCGTTTATTCCCATCTGTTGCCCTCAGCTCTCTGACTTTATCCCCATTGTGTTAACTCATTACATTCGCCTTAACCTTAACCCCTTAATTGCCACCCTCCAGTTTCTCTTGAACATCCTCCCCCTCTTGAAGACAGTGTGCCACATTGCCCATGCACTAATCTGATGGCGTCTGCCTACCAAACACCTGCCATGTCCGGAAAAACCTACTAAACTCCTCCCATATTCCAGATACTGCACCCCTTCCAGCGTGAGCGGATCAGCACAAATGACTGCGAGCAGGCATGCATGCATGCATGCGGACAGATGCGACTGGATGCAAATACAGAGTATTTGACAGGCAATCTCATCCCAAGAAAATCATACCAGAGTCAGTCTGGTTTTTTTAGCCTTTAAGTGTTTGTGCACCTAGTTTTTCCTCACATTTTAAGCCTGACAAGACAAACAAGAGTTGTCCTTTGTCCTGCCTCTCTGCTCAGACTTGCATTCGAAGACAGTGACATGTAGGCCCAGGCCTCTTTGCTTTAACAATAACTCTCTTGACCCCCCAATGAGGGGTGGAGGGCCAGACATGAGGCGATGTGACAGTTCTAGTGCGGCCAACACAATAGCAGGTTTTTCTTTTGACTGCCTGGCTGGCTGGCTATACACCACAGATTACTTTCTTTTGCTATTAACAATCTAACAGATAGTCATGTTTGCCTAAGGAACATGTTCAACAACATCAGAGTGTGCCTTGATGCTACTTGTTTTTTAAATAGAGTACAACCAAGGCTTGTTTTGGCTCAGGATGGTTTTGTTCTGGGTTTAGTCAGATGTCTCAGAAATATTAGCACCTCTGATGTCAAAGTTATCTTCCAGGTCACTGGTATAGTTAAGCCCACTTCTATGATTGTAAATTATTAAAAGGATTAAAACCTAATGGTCAACACACAAGGTCATTAGTGACAGCGAGATGCCAAAATAAATGCAGATGTCCCTTGTTACCTTCAACCACAATCTTTATTCCATCGTAGAATCAGGGCTGTGGCTGTGTCTGTGTGCGAGTTTCTAAAATGAAGTTTGTTGATAATGTGTTATTGATCGTGAATTAGAGTGGACTGCCCCTCAGGGTTCATCCTGGTCGGCCAGGAATGAATACATCTCTTCATGCTTCACCTCATGCACTCAATTTCGGCATAGGAAACCAAAGGACACACACGCATTTTGAGACACTGACCCGAGCTCTAATACGTACAGACAGGCGTCGCTCATCCACTAAGGGACAAAAGGTTATTCTAAAATCTGTGTGATGCAAATTGCCTCAGTGGGCCATCTCTCCCACAACAGAGTTTGTGGTTTTGACACATGCTGAGTGAAACTGCACTACATGTAAGCAACGTCTGCTGTCTCTGTTGGTGTATTCACAACAAAACCAGCCCCTGCATTTCTGCATTATAGTTGTCTGTACCTTGAATTAAAGAGGAAATAAAGACATTTTAAAACTCATTGTCCGACTGAGTAACATCAGTTTTATTTTATTAATTACAGTAAATCCTTAATCACTGTAGTCTGTGGCATTCTGGGTTTTTTAAAGGAAACAAGCTAAGAAAGTATCAATAGCGACTTTTATCAGTTTCAGGCCTTACATGTTTAGTTCTCTCTGTAATTAGAAATCTAAACTTGACCTTGAACCTTATAATGTACTGTTTTGACAATTGTACGATTTGTCCAGGCTTCATTTCTAATATGTTTTAATTACCTCAAGATTATGAAAAATAGATACAAAAAATATCACAAAACCTTTTATTTAACATGGCAAGATCAGGCAGGAATAATTCATGAATGATGAGTGAGAGGGCCACACTACGAGAGGCTACACTACTACACTTTCCTATGTTCCTATGTTCACTACACTTTCCTATGTTCAATTTGACTATGGATTGGTATTAATATAATAATAAATAAATACATATATTATAATTAATATTATAATAACCGAGCCAACTTTGACAAGTTAAATATTGCATGTCTATTTAAATTTATTTTTCTATTTTCAGGTATTCTTGCCAAAAGAAGAAAAGGATCAGGATGGAAAATGAAGCTGTAATGTTTTGCACCTTTTTGACACCTGTTCTGAGAACTCACTAACTTCTGGAACATACACTTTGCATAGTTTGAGGATTTATTACACGGCTGTGGTTGTTGTGCTCCAGGAAAAGTAATGGAGAAAGAAGAGAGGGAAGACGTATCACAAAAACGCACAGCTAATATAAAGGCAGAGGCAGAGGAAGATGCGACCTCTGGACACACATGCGGGGTGTGCGGTCGCAGCTTTCCTCTTCTCAGCTCTTTGTCCCAGCACATGAGAAGACACACAAGAGAGAAGCCCTACAAGTGTCCATACTGTGAGCACAGGACGGCTCAGAAGGGCAGTCTGAAAGCCCACATCCGAAGCCATAAACTGGGCCTATTGGACCATAATCCCAGTGACAAGGAGGGGGACGTAAATAAGGAGGAGAAAGATAACACTGAAACCCCTGATCCCCCTAAAATCATCCCCAAATCGGACAAAGCTCATAAAGTCAACGGGAAGGTGAAAAAGAAAGAAACCAAGAAAAAAGTAAAGAAAAAAGACAAGGTTGGTGATGCCGAGTCTTTTTCCTGCACCATCTGTGGCCAGGTTTTCCCTCAGGTACTACTCCTTAAATCCCACATGAAAAGACACCGCAATGCCCAGGATCACGGATGTCGGATATGTGGACGTCGTTTTCGCCAGGCATGGTTCCTCCAAAGTCATATGCGCATTCATCGCGTTAAAGCTCAGTTGCAAGGCGGCAGAAGCAACGAACCGCCTGCTACAATCAATGGAGTTCCCCAGGACCCAGAATCCCTGATAAATGAAGAGTGCCTCTATGAGCTCTGTGCTGGCTGCGGTAATTTCTTTTATGACCGCAAGACGTTGCAAATACATGAGAAGCTACATAAACTGAATAGCACTCAAACACAAAATCCACCACATGAAGACCATGAAGCCTCTGAGCTGCAAAATTCTAAGAGACATTTTTTGGAAAGTTTGAACCTTACCCGTGTTGGTGAGAGTCACACATCTGAGGAAGAAACCCTGGGCAGGAGAATTCCAGAGCTGGATCCAATTTGTAGTTACCAGGCGTGGCAGCTGGCCACTAAGGGAAGACTAGTAGAGGCCACAGAGAAATGTCTGGGATGGGAGGAAAGACTCGCTGATGCTGAGGTGGCATACGACATGGACAAGGGTGAGTATGTTCCCCTGAAGCAGGAGAAGAAGAGGAAGCAGATCGACACCTCCAGCTCCAACATTAAGAAGAAGAAGGGGGATACAGGCCTCGACCACACGGCAAACAGCCTGGCTCATGCTAAAGGAGGTGACAAGAGGATATCCCAGAAAGATCGTATACTGTTGAACGGACTTGGTCATGCATTTTATGAAGCGCTGCATAGTAAGAAGGTCAAAGATGTTCATTACTCACCTAAACTGACCAACAGCATCAGGAGCCAAGACCAGGAGGGTAAGTCCAGAACACTGCACCACACGAGAGCGTTGGTTTTTGATAGTAGATAGACGTTTAAATTCCTTTAAATTGGGAAACAATAACTGAAGGTCATGTTTGAGGACATTTCATGGTAACTACATTCTTTTTACTTTAAAGTCAGATAAACAAACCAGGCCAGCAATTCAACAGCAATTCAAAACAAATGTAACTACTTTGTATTAGGTGGGAGATGAATTTACTACCATTGTATTGTGAGGAAGGGAGACCTCTAGTGGATGTATACCTGAATTACAACTGTAATTGTGTTTGTTTATTCAGAGATTGAAAACTAACATCCCAGGTTTTCTCTGGAGGTAAAGTTGGGTCAAGTAGATTTATAGTGTCTGAGTGGCAGAATTGTCACTGGGCTGCTTCATCAACCCATTCACAAATTTGAGTTTAACCATAACAGGATATTAGAATGATCAAGATACCAATCACTAAAGGTATTTTGGAAAATATACTTAAACATTGTCAATAAACATATGTTTAAATATTTTTATAATTATTTTACTATCTATTCATATATTTCAAATATACTACCACTTAACATATAGAGCTTGTGTCCTTATCTGCAATAAAACAATGATATGATAAACTGACACTTACACACCTCTTTAATTCTGTGTGTTCCTTACACTGCTTTTTTTTCTCATACTGCAGATAAAAAACCCTACTTCTGCGAGCACTGTGATTTCCACACTGTTGACGCCTCACTACTCAGGTTGCACCTGCACAAGCACAACCAGGACTTCCTGGGGTCCCATAGCAAACACGGCACCATTTTGGACAACTTAAGCCAGAGTGGATCCAAAACCTCAAGATACATGGACTACCTCAGGAACAGGAGTGTACTACTCAGTCAGCCATACTGGAATCCTTACCCATGTTTGCCCAGCCAGGGCTTATTAGAGTCAAATGTTGAAACTGAAAAGTCAAGTGTTACAGAGGTCAAAGGGCAAGGACTTACTACTGATGATGCTAGCAGTCTTCTCAATCTGTCTGCATTGCCTGTAAGTGAAGGAGACAGCACTGTTAATTACCCATTAAAAACAGAGGGCCTGGTGAGACATCAGTGCACATACTGTTCCCACACGACCACCTACCCAGAAGTACTGTGGATCCATCAGCGAGTGGCCCACAGGGTGGACGGCAGCAGCTCCATGGCGCCCAAGTGGGCACCGTGCATTACCAATCTCAAGAGTTTAAAGGCTGGTGTCTCCCAGTGGAGACGCACAGGACCTCCTCCGTTCCTTGAAGGCAAGGACTGTCCAACTTTACCAACCCCGAGAACTCAGCGCACACAGCCCCCAGGCCTCACAACCCCCAGCAACAAGCACTCAGCAAGCACCCATTCTCAGTCTAAAACCCAGTCAGGTGTCCCAAAGTCCAAGCACCAGTCAAAGGACACTCGCTCTTTAGAAGGGACATATTCTAGTGCGAGGGTGGGACCCCAACCTCAGAAGAAGTCTGGTGGACATAACCGGGCAGCAGAGGGGGGAAGTAAAGGCTCCAGTGTACAAGGTACTTCATCGAGCAGTATAGTGCATAACAAGAGCGTCTCTAGTTTCCAGCCAACCAGCAGTCCCCAGCACAGAGGCCACAGGGCTGCAGTGGAGGGAAACTTCCCTCAGGAGGGTTTGGGTTTTATGTTGGCCAGGAGCCATGGTGGGACTTCTAACACGGCTGCAGACAGACTTCATCCCCGCAGGCAGTCATGTGACTCCTCCTCAGGTCTCAAGGGCCCTGATCTGTGGGCTGCCATGAACATGTGGGGGCTACACGGAAGCAAAGCTTATTTAGATCCACTCCTTTTTGCTCAGGGAAAGAGTGAGTCAACAGTAGAAATGCCAATGGACGTTGATGTTCTGAGTCTCCTGAAGAACTACAGTCCTCACGACCTGGCTGCTCTCTATCAGCACTGGGGGTTCATCGACCCCAGGATCGATCCACAAGGTGAGGAGGAACTTTAGTTTTTTAATTTCTTTGTAGGCAGAGAACAAACTAAATACTGGTAACTTTAAGTTAGATGTGGTCACTGATTTAAGTTGGTTAAAATTAAAAATGTCATGTGTTAAAACTATTATTAAAACCTGCTGAGTGGAATATTTAAAATGTTGTCACACCTATTTTTACAGCAATGTTGACGTTAAATGGAAATTTTGGAAACGAAGTCCATTCATCCTCTGAAGCTTCCAAACAAGTAAGTTTCCTCTGCAGCATTCACTGACACTACGTAGGTTTGGATTTAAAGCAAATGAGTGGTGACTAAAAATGTTTTTTTTCTTTAATCCTTGAAACTAAAACCTGAATCAACAAAAAAAAAGTCTTATCTTCGTTAATTAAAAAAAATCTTACCAAGACATTGATTTTTATATTGAAGTCTCCCCACAAATTCAAAAATAAAAGAATGTCTTACTCTAAACAGTAAAAATACAGGCCTATATCACATACATGTGATTAAACCAGGAAACATTCATATTTTAGATGAAGTAATTCAGTGTCAGTTCTTGCATTGGCTGGTGGTCGGGGAATCATACTTGTGCTTTAATTAAAGTTTAATCTAAAATGTGCAACTTAAAGTCAGTCAACAGCAAATCTGATCCATCACTAGAGCAACATAAAAGTCCCATCCATCTCAGAATTAAAAATGTCTTCACTAACTCTCCCTGTCCTCTTGTCTGTACATTGTCTGCATCGGAAGAGTCTGTCACTTCTGTGCAAACCTGCGTCTGCATTCATGTGTTAGCATGCCCGCCTGTCAACTTCCACAACCTGGCTGTCTCGTCCTTCTCAGTTTTGTAAGAGGCTCAAGAGAGAGGCAAACAAATAAGGGAAAAAAAGACTCAGTTGTGTCCCTCAGGGTAAAACTCGCCCAGCATCACCATACTGTGTGTCATCAGCCTGTCAGTCGGGCCTGATGCTACCTACAACTGTTCTGTCTTCTCCTCTTTCCCCCTAGAGGAATGTGTGGGTAACTTCTTAAACACAGGAGATTGGCAGCATGTCAGTCTGTAGGGGTGAGGAATTATAAATCAGATGAAATTAAAGTGGATGACACTGTGGGTGATGTTGAACAGTATCATGGGAATATATTTTTCTGGAGGAGCTGACAAATCCTGAAAGACGTTTGTTGTTTCATGTTTCATGTCTCCTTGTCTAGATTTTCATTACTATTTACTTTGTGTGTCTCATACTGGCTGGACCATCATCACATCACCAGAAGATAGATTATTCCAGTAATGCAGAGGTGTTAACGTGACTGTGTACATTCACAACTGGTTAGATTGAAGAAAGTTAGTCAATGACTTATTGAAAATTACTTGAAATAAAATAATGT